CCAATATCATACCTAGAAAAAGTACTTTGATTCTATAATTCAAAAAGAAGTTAATATAAATTTATAGAAATCTACATTAATTTACAAAAAATTGGATTTCCTCCCAGATATACAAACATAAGTAAAACACGAAAAAGTAAATAATTAGGTTTAAAATGCAGCTGAGACAGAGAGGTGGCCCACACAGGTTCTGCCAGCTCTAAATTCACAACAAAACCTTTTATGGCACATCTGTGCATCTGTAATGAGGAGAAATATTTTTTGTCCCTGAGTTGGTAACTAAGATGCAGTTAATTACAATTTTACAAAAAGAAACTAAAAAGTTAAAAAAAAAAAAAAGTAAATAGGCCCATTCAGATCCATATGCCACAGTTCCTTTCATTTCGATTAGCTAACTCTGCCAGCTACCTTCTCACTGATCTAGTCTTACCTGACAACGATGGTGACTTTTTACCCTTTTTACTATATGTTCAGTTGTGTCCTGAACATATAATATTAAATAAAAAGCAAGGCAGTAAAGACAAATACAAATTTATTTCTTAGAGAAATAAATATGGTTATGAATAAAGTCCTTCTAAAATTCTTTATTTTTTTATTTTTATTAATTATAGTTTATTCACTTTGCATCCCCCTATAGCTCCCTCCCTCCACCCCTCCCAATCCCACCTTCTTTCCCCCTTGTCCATTCATTCCCCTCCCCCAGTCCACTGATAAGGGAGATCTTCCTCTCCTTCCCTCTGATCCTAGTCTATCAGGTCTCATCAGAGGTGGCTGCATTGTCTTCCTCTGTGGCCTGGTAAGGCTGCTCCCCCCTCAGGGTGTGGTGATCAAACAGCAGGCCAATCAGTCATGTCAGAGGCAGTCCCTGTTCCCCATTACTATGGAACCCACTTGGATACTGAACTGCCTTGGGCTACATCTGTGCAGGGGTTCTAGGTTATCTCCATGCATGGTACTTGGTTGGAGTATCAGTCTCAGAAAAGACCCCTGTGCTCAGATATTTTAGTTCTGTTGCTGTGCTTCTGGAGCTCCTGTCCTCTCCAGGACTATTTCCCACTTTACTTTGAAAATTTTAAAAGCTGTGTAAAAATTAACGTTAGAAGCACCATCCCTTCATCCTCAGTTAGAATATTATTTTTCACCGTAAAGATATCTATCTAAAGGAAAAGTAAGTCACACAGAAGGCCCACTTAAGAATCAATCCTGCTTCATTTACAATTTTTTTTTCTATGGAGGTCACTTTTTAATGAGCTTTCCCCTATTAGCACAATTATGTCATATAAAATCATAATAATAACTGATCTAAAAAGAGAAAAAATGTAGTGATAAAATGATTCCTAATGATTTTCTGCAACACTCATAGATCAGTGTCTTGCTCAGCCATCATCAGAGAAGCTTCTCTCTGCAGAGGATGGGAACAAATGCAGAGGCCCACAGCCAGACACTACAGAGTGACAGACCTTGGAACACTCAGTCATTAATGGGTGTCTCCATCTCCTCTCAGAGCTCAGGGATCCTCGTGGAAGAAGAGGTGGCAAGAGTGTGTAAGCCAGAAGAGGTGGGGGACACCAAGAAAATGAGGCCCTTGAATCAGCATGAGCAAAGTTCATATGAATAATAAATTCATAAAATAAAATCATAGTGCAAAGAAAACACATCATTTACAATATTGGTTACATAGTATATCTACATGTTATAATGCTAAGGAAAGTATATAGATAAAAGCAAACATACTGTATAGGAAAATATTCATTGGCTCGAGAAGTTGTAATTAATCTGCACATAATTTTTTTTCCTGAGACAGGGTATATCCTTGGCTGTCCTGGACTCATTTTGCAGACTAAGCTTCACAGAGATCAACCTGTTTCAGCTTCCTGGAGTAATGGGATTAAAGGCGTGTACCACCATACCTAGCCCTAGATATAATCTTAACAATATTATATTATTGGTAAAAAAAAAATGTAAATATACAGTATATTAGAAGCCCTGAGGCAATTTTACTGAGGAAGCACATTTTGTATTTATGCTATAGGATATAAGATTCATGTAAATAAGTTTTAATATGTATACACAAAAATGTTGATCCACCAAAATAACTGTGATATATAAATTAAACCACATTAGTTAAGACAGACTGGTAAGTAAATCTTAGTGTGCTCACGAGCACACAGGAATTTCTCTGCAGTGCTGATCAATGGGTGTCAGCTTTAAAAAGAAAGATAGAAATAGCAGCAGCATATTGCTTAAGTGACATGGCAAAGGTTGAAATCATCTCAATCAAGACTCAATATTTTTCTCCCAGTTTTTCCAGCTGTTCTCTTCCAATTAAGTACTCTTCATTTCAAATACAGTTAATTAGTTCCATTGATCATAGCCAACACTAGGAGGCTTTATCCATGCCTCTTCACTTCTTTGAGGCAAACGCTAACAAAAGCCGCTAGGTCAAGCTTTAACTGTTCTAGGACAACATTCATACCTGCTCTTTCTCAGCCAGAATTATGTCAGAAACAATCATCCCGCTTTTAGCAAGAATACGAAATTATATTTTACATTTTACTTAGTAAATGGTCAAATTACTTCTAAGAATAAGTCTTAGGTACAACAAAGACAAAATTAAATAGGTACCCACATTAATCTAAACACACAAAATTGTGTCATGATATAATTTCTAGTTATTTTATGAAGAGGTATTATTAGCAATTCCTTCAAAATAATCTGATTTTATTTCAAAGGTACTGGCTAAACTGGTCAGCCTTTCTTTTTGTGGTGCTGGTATTCGACAGTGGTGCTCATCCCAAAATAAGACTCAAAATGGGTTTTTCTCGTTACATCTACCATATTTTTCATAATGCAATTTATATAGGATTCCAGTCAATAAAAAGAAATATGGTTTTCTTCTAAACTGTCACAAAAATCTATACCACAGCTTAATCAAGTCCCACAGTCTAAAGGCAACCTGAGCGATCAACAGACGGCAGTGTGCTCGCTGCTCTGGCAACATGTTAACGAAGGCTTTTTTGGTTATTTAAAGTCTTTGGATATTGAACAATCTTGCTTCTAGTACCCATAGCATGAAGCGAATAAATCAACTGACAAAGGCCATTCGTCACACACATTTAGCCAAATTAAACAGATTAAAATACATGGTAGGCAGCATGAATTAATTCTCCAAATGAGACTTACATTAAAATGTCATCAAACTTGTAAGAATACAGGCATGAGCTTTAATACAATCTCATGAGTTTATAATTGCATGATCTAAATTTTAACTAGTTTCTTAAAGTTAATTTGAGTGCTCACAATGATCTTTATTCAAGAATTTCACTGCTCTGTTCTCCTGTGGCAAGGGCATTCTCTTTGCAAGAAATTAAATAACTACTTTTTTATATAGAAGGTCTTCAGCTTTCTAGGGATTTAAGAAAAAAACACATCTATAGCAATTGTTTTTAAATATAATAAAAACAGGAGCTAAAAAGTATTTTCTTACTTACAAAGCATCAGCAAACGAAAGATTTTCTTTAGTTGCTTTTAAAATGAACTGCATTAATTGTTAAATGCTAAATTATTTCTGAAATTTTGGATGTACCTAACGATGTTTATATTCAAATCAGATGAATTTTCACCATAATACTTACATGTTAAAAATTGGCAATCCAAGTCCAAGTGTATATGATCCCCAAGATTTTATATATATATATGTATATATATACACACACACACACACACACACACACACACACACACACACACACAGGTAACAGTATATAGACTGAGCAGGTTGTAGTTACATATTTAGGAAATCATGTACATCTATATTCCTACATTTATGTGTATGTATGCATGTATGTAACAATAGGAAAAAAAGCCATGAATTTGAAAGAGAGCAAATGGAAGAAAGAAAACAAAAGGGGAAAATGTTTCAATTATTATTTCAAAAAGTAAAATGAGTATTAAAAAATAACAAGGGAACATCATCATCTCATCTTATCAGAAAATCTGTTGCTCTTCTACTTAGGCAAAATTTATTCAAAGCCACTGCCTAAGGGTACAGTTCTTAAACATAAGCTTTCCAATTATCTAAGGAAATCACTGAGCTCTCTCAACTTCTTCCCAGTGGAAAAAATTAAAGGCATTTATTAGGTGGTAATAGTAACAGACTTGCTACATTTTGCTCTGTAAGAAAGAAAATTCTACTTTCAATTTTTTGTAAAAAAATTTTACTCTTATTTTTTTGCTCATACTTTAAAAAATTATTGGTTAATATTCACATTTAAAAGTAATTAGGTATTATAGTCACATTTTCAACTACTGTTAGCCATCTGTACCCAACTAACCAAAAAAAAAAGAAAACAAAAAACAAGAAACAAAATGAAAAAAAAAACAATAGTTTCAATAAAACTATCAGTCTGTTTATTATCATTAATACACTAAAAGAAATTGAGCACAATGAATGTGGAGATTCAGCAATTAAAATTAGTCAAAATGATTCAAAGATAGGCTAAATTTGTCATACATAAACTTTATAAAATTTGCTATATGCCTGGTTCCATGATGGATAACACATGTAAAAGTCTTTGATATCCACTCAATTTCAATAACTTTAAAAAGCAGCATTCACTTTCTCAGTTTCAGTACAAAAAAAAAAAATGTACATTTCTTACATGACCCATTCTATATACATTGTTATTACTACTATTCTTTAATTCAACCCCGTAATTTGTAATTGCAGAGCCTTTCACAACCTCGTGGACATGTGTATTCCTCTACATGTTCAAGACTTTAGTAATGTTTCTAGTTGCGCAACTAAAAGGCTTCCAGAACATTAAGTACCCAGCTCACAGGTATGTGACATACGCCATCCTGGACCAAACCAACAGTTCCACTTGAATTCAAGTTTCCTGGCTTCCTTCACAAGACACAACCCTAATAAGTGACTGAGAAAACAGTTTGCAACACTGATCAGAGCTCCAACAAATTATGTGATTTTTGCCCATGCCTACCAGTAGTGATGTCATCATCCACAAGGTCATGCTCTTCTTCTTGGACTTTGGCTTCTGGTCCTGATGCATCTGGAGCAGCTGTCATAGTCTGCATTGCTTCCACTGAGACTCCAGCTATAACATATTAGAGTGACAAGATTTCACTTTATAAACTGAAAGAAATGTAGTGAAACTTGTAAAGTTTTTACTACTTGAAAGATAACATTCAATATTGTGCAATATACAAACAAATGAATAAAGTATTTATCTCTACTCTATTTATTTATATGGGTGGACATGCATGGGTCTATCCTATATTTAGTTTTACTCAATATCTGAAACAAGAGGACAAAAATGCTGATATAAATTTTATTTTTACTTGATTTGTTTCACTAACACTTATGCTATCTGTTTTAGATTGAATTATGCTGCAAACAGAAACAAAAATGTACAGTGAAGCACTAATTCAAAGGTTTACTCTCTTCTATGTTAGTGTGTTCACAACTTGGGGTTGGCAGGTAGGTGAGGACAGAGAAGTAGCTGTGTTCTGAGACAAGTATTGATTCCAAAGAAAAACATTTCTTTCTATGAAAGAATTAGGGATGAGGAACAGAATTATCATACCAAAAGGGTTCCATTCTGCTAGTTTACACAAATGCCTTTATCCTGCATAGCCACCTTTTTCTCTGTCTGAATATATATGGAGTGTTACTTTGCATTTACCATATTATTTCAAAGTTGGCAAGAGGAAGTAGATTTTATAGTGTTTTAAAATGATTATCATCAATCTATCATGTGTAATATAGAAGTGGAAATTTCTAACCAAGTCTTTTAAAGAAGTACTTTAATATTTGCTTAGAAAGGAGCAATACAAATGCTTTACAAACTACATGCGATAGATACCGAAGGATTTCTTTTGTTCTAAGGTGTACTGCTTTACACAATTCCCCAGGCTTTCCAAAGGCACCCAGACAGGAAAAATCCTTAGCTAATTCACCACCGTGAAGGATAGTAAGCTGGACTCATCAGTGGGTAACCAGAAGATCTACAGATTGAATATGGAAAACAGAATGCACAAGTGTAGGAGTATCACCTGTTCAGAGCTTCTTTGGAGCACTGGGAGGAGAAGAAGAAGTGAAGAATCAAGGGAAAGAAGGAAGGGAAGGGATAATAACAAAACTGGTCCCCAGTGAGCAGACCATGATGACGCTGCCCCTCTAGGAAGTATATTTGTTACTGGGCTCACAAGGTCAATTTTAACATGAAGGAGGGTTTCATTAGAGAAATACTAATTACTTAATCCACGCCACCCACCTGCAAAATAATCACAAAGAGACGGGGATAGAGAGGGAAACAACACATTCCTAGAAGGACATATATTGTTCAAATAATAAAAAAAAAATTAAAGATAATTTTTGCATACTGAATTAAAACATAACCTTTGAAATCTCATTCTTTGCTAGCACTCAGTAATTCTGAAAACGATGAGAAAAACTGGAATAAAAATATCAAAGAACAATATGAACAGTAATGATCACTAGTATTTTCCTTTCATTAATTCAATGAAAGTGAAAGTTAAGACTTATAAGTAAACCATTTATATTCATCCTATTTAACCAGAGGGACAAAGAAAGTTCTCAATGTGACGCTACTGCTAGGTTCTGAAGCCAGAACTAAAAGACAGGCCTTCTGACCTTAAATCCCAAGGCAAAGTCACCACAGCACAAGGTTTTCTTGGAAGTGAGTCCTTGGGACAGGTGAGTGGTATTACAGAACATCACAGCATAGCCACAAAGACTTAAACTCATACCATACAGTGTGAATGCTGTCAAGCCATCCATGCATAGAGTTTAAAGAGCAAATACATATATCTCAATGGAACTGAGGCCAACGACCAAAAAACCCATACTTATATTTGTTCTTAAATAGATCCATTTCAGAACCGAGTTTAATAAAACTTGGAAGACAAATAAAATACAACCAAGTAAAATCTTGCATGCATAGAGTGTCAAATATCCTTATTGAAATATTAGCAAATAGGAGTTAGGCAGGGTAGTAAATGCCTTTAATCTCAGCTCTCAAGAAACAGGCAGATCAATTTCTGAGTTGGAGGCTAGACTGGTCTACATAGAAAGTTCAATAACAACCAAGCTACATAGTGAGGCCCTGCCTCAAAAAAAAGGGGGGTGGGGATAAAAGAGAGCGTGTGAGGAAGGCGGGGGAGGAAAACTAATTAATTAAACAAGTAGAAGCCTGGAATATATATAAATGTTTATATAATATGGCCAAGAGGACTTTACCACAGGATACAAGTCTGGTTCAGTTTAAAAAAACCAAACAGTTTAATCCAAAGAGTGATCTAAAGAATATCATGAGATCATAGTAATTATTTGACAAAAGTTTGACACATCTTTAAAGATGACTTTTTCAAAACTATAGGAAAATCAGGAACTGAAGGGAATTTCTTCAGCTTATAAAAAGATGTAAAACTTGAAGTTGACATTCATATTTAATGAAGGAAATCCGATCCTTTTCATTCTATAATCAGGAATAAACAAGGATTACACTTAGAACACATTTGCCTATTTAACAACATGGAAAACTCTAACAAATACCAAAACAGAAGGTAAACATAGGCAGTTTAAAAAGAACAATGCAGACTGCTCCTGTGCGATGTTTAATTCTAGGTACCGACTTGACTGAGTTCACATACACAGTCAGCTCTTAAGCCACCTGGACTTTCATACTTAGACTGAGCCCTGACAGAAAGTTTCCCTGAGCTCTACCTTGCACATCATCTATTGTGAAACTTAGCCTATTTGGCTACATGAACCAATTCCCCTTAGTTAATCACCTCTCTTCCAACTACCTACCTATTCATCCATCCATCATCCATCCATCCATCACCCACTATTGATCCTGGTTCTGTCTTTCCAAAGAACACTGACTTAATACTATTCAAGGGTAAAATAATTGCCAATGTAAAAAAATCTAGAGAATTCCAAAAGACAACAGCAAAAATTAGTTACTACAAAATAAAGGATAAATCTTGAATCATCCCTATTACCAACATCCCTACCTTGAAGCTTCTTTTTGCAAGGACTCTACAAACTCTCCCCAGCCTCTTCTCACTGACAGTTTCTAGCTTCATAGCCTATATATATATATGCACTCATGCGTGGAGTGGGGTTGGTTGGGGGGTGTCTATATATGTCTGTGTGTGTGTGTGTGTGTGTGTGTGTGTGTAAATATGTGTCTTTCTGTGTGTGTGTATATGTGAGTCTGTATGTGCATGAATATGTGTGTCTTTCTGTGTTTACATATGGGTCTGTGTATGTGTATTTGTGTGTGTCTGTGTGTATATATGTGTCTGTACAGGTGTGTCTATGAGTTTGTATATCTGTCTGTATGTGTCTGTCTGTGTGCATGCATGCACACATGTAAATTAGATGCTAGGTTTCCCATATGGGAACAAATATGTAATATTTGTCTTTCTGAGTCTAGTCAAATTTATCATTTAATGTAATTTCTAGAATCATCTATTTACTTAAGAATTTCATAATTCCATTTTATTTCTATCTTAATAAAATTTCCCTGTGTCTATCTCCTCTGCAGTAACAAGACCTGATGCTGGCATGTACTATGTGGCTCTGGTGAGGACTTTGTGGTCAGTGGTACAGTAACAGCATGAGTGTGAAAAGAAAGGTTACATAATGATACAAGAAGACAAAGCAAGTATGGAGTTCTTCAATCACTCTCAAAGGACATCAGCAAGAACTGAAACCTCTCACCAGTCTCCTCCATTTCTCAATATTACCACACTGGAGACACAGCTCTTATATATGAATCATTAAGAGGAAAAGTACATCCCAACTAAAGCACACATCATACATAAAACTAATTCCAAATGAATTATGTAAATGTAAAATAAAGCAATTAAACTTTTTAAAATAAAAATATCATTGAGCCCTAAAGTTAGACCTGACATTAAAAGCATAATCCATACAAAGAAATATGGATTAGGTGGCCCTTATCAGGATCAAAATAACTTCAGCTCTGCAAAAACACTATAAAGAGGGGGGAAAAAAAGACAAGACACAGACCAGAGAAAAGAATTTTTTAGGACGGGAACCACACAAGGAGAGCAACAGAACCAGAAAATTTGAACACAGGGAATTTCCCGGAGACTCATACTCCAACTAAGGACTATTCGTAGAGATAACCTAGAACCCCTGCACAGATGTAGCACATGACAGTTCAGTGACCAAGTGGGTTCCATAGCAATGGGGACATAATCTGATTGGCCTGCTCTTTGATCACCTCCCCCTGAGGGGGGGGGGCAGCCTTACCAGGTCACAGAAGATGACAATGCAGCCACTCCTGATGTGATCTGACAGACTAAGATCAGAAGGAAGGAGAAGAGGACCTCCCCTATCAGTGAACTTGGGGAGGGGCATGCGTGAAGAAGGAAGAGGGAGGGTGGGATCGGCAAGGGAGGAGAGAGGGTCTTCTGGGGGATACAAAGTGAATAAAGTGTAATTAATAAAAATGAAAAAATTTAGGATCACGATTGATGATGTGTGACCGGCAACACACAAAATGAAACTAGGGATAACGAGGGATAACTGTATTGTAGATGTTGATGGCACTCACTAAGGGTCACAGTTAAGAAATATCAATGGTAAATATAAGTAAATGGGTAAATATAAGTAAATAAAAAGATGTAAAAAAAAAAAAGAACCATATACCTAACAAGAGACCAGTACCCAGATTGCACAAGAAACTTTCCAAATCTCATTCCAAATCTCACAGTAAACAGGGCTCCAATTCCTCCTAACTATTAACCAAAGTGTATATGATGCAGTAATTACTGTTAGAGAATGAAACCATATGTCCTCATGAAAACTAATCCATAAATATACATGGCACCATTATCTACAAAAGCAAAACTGTGGTGAGACTGTAAATGGCCAAATTGCTACAATATTGTAACACAGTCACATAGTGGAATGCTGTGCAGCAGTTCAAAAAGGGGGAGTTCTGATAGTTGCTGCAATATGCTCACTAGAAACTTAAAGAATCACTTCATCTTATGACCACAAACAGCCAAGATGGTGAAATCTATTGCAACAGAA